CACTTATCTTCATCGTGTGGCTCGTGCTGGTCGTTTTGGTACCAAAGGTTTGGCTATAACCTTTGTCTCGGATGAGGCTGATGCTAAAATTTTGAACGAAGTGCAAGACAGATTTGATGTCAACATCACTGAATTACCGGATGAGATTGATCTATCATCCTATAGTAAGTGCCTGTGATTTTTAACAATGAATAATGTTTACGATTAATATACAAATTTTCATTTTGCAGTCGAAGGACGATAAAATATTTAATTTCTACATAAGTACTGCTACTAAAATGGGCTACTTTATTGTAAACCTAACGTAATCTATAGTGTATTACTCAAATAAAAGTCCAGAAACCAAATGAGACATTTTATTTTAAGACGCTTTCTAATAAGTATACATAGAATAAAAAGATAAACTAAAGAATTACTATTACGAGTTTTATTTTCTAAAAGCATTTTGAGTTAAAAAGAAGGTAGACATTGGTGTCATGGGGAGAGATCTAGGTTTAGAAGATAGGTTACTAAGGTCGAATTTCAGATGGCCTACTTAAGTAGAGATTGTTAATTAACTTCAAAAGTTCATTTTCAGATAATAAGTTTAATCTGCACATAAATGGCCATATTGTTATTCAAGTATGAGATATAAAACCCTGTGTATGCATCAAACAACCAAGATCGATAATAGCGGCTGTGTTCAGAAATGCATCAAGCGAAAGCATCGTGCTCCTTTATTTATAAACTATAATTTAGGGTAATGTATGTTTTGCGCGCAACTAAGTTCCAATTCGGGATTTAAGCGTGGTTGCACATATTGGCCATTTTCATCAATTATAGTTTAGAAACGAGTAATTTTTAAGCAAAAAACAAAACCGACTTCAATTCTCATATACAAATTTAAGATTATCGTAAATTTCTTCACGATCCAATTATCGGATCTAAACAAAATTAGTATTGGACCACCCTTGAGGTACCACCTTCCGATGAATTATCGAAATCGACTAACGTGGTCCAAAGTTATGCGGGAACATACATACAAAAAAAATAATCCGTCGAACAGATAACCGCCTTTTCTGAAGTGGGTTAATAAAAGAGCCTGCTGCTTTGGCTTGATGCATTTCTGAACGCAGGGAGCCTGGCGGACGTGGCAATGCAATATATTTCGAAAAGGCTGTCAAATTGAGAAATTTCAGAAAGCAGTTGCATGAGGAGTTACACCCTGCATGTAAAGTGTCTTTCGAAAGAAGTTCATGGGCCTACCATTAGTTGATCTTGACGACAACGATTGATGGACAAACCGATCTAGGCGGCGCTTAGTAGTACCGCTACAAAAACAACATCAACTTGAAAGCAAGTTATTGATAGTGCAATTTCACTGTAAAAATTTTTTTACAGCCATATTTACGGCCGTATTCACATGCTTGAACATCTCGCGAGTTTTGTTGGCTGGGCATTGACAGTACTTTTTCATTTGTAAAATGTCGCCAAAAAATAAGATTCGAGCTTTGTAGGCTAAATTTGTATTTTTCACTAAAATAAACGATGTTGCTGCTCTGAAGAATTCTACGAAATAAGAATATACCTGTCAAACAACAAAAATGATAGTTCAAAGCATGGGAGAGCTTGAAAGCCGCTCGATATGCACGAAAAAGTATGCTTCGTACTGTTTGCGGTCTACACGTGCCCAAGCTAGATCTTCCAGCACGTGAAGACGGCCGGTTACATTTGAAAGAAAGTGCTTTTGGTCAAAGACTGTACGTTCTTTCATTTCGCAAAATAGGCCAAATCACCACACCGTAAAGGCCCGCCCACATACAAATTTGGCCTTGCGATGGCGTTGGCGACGATTCAACAACTGACTATGAATACATGAGCTCCAAAGCAGCCGTCCACATCCATGGTGAAACGAATACATCGGTCTTGGTCCACATAGCCAAAATTTGGCAACGCTAACGCCAACACAAGTCAGAAAGATAGCCAACTCTCACCTTATCGCGTGCGTCGTTCATCAGCTGTGAAATATTTTTCCCTTTTAATCAAATTCGAGAAAATTTTGTCATGCAATTATTGATATGAAATATTAATTCATCTGTCGTAAGTGTGTTAATTTAGTGGGCGAAGCATTTATTGTCAAGCGTTTATTATAGCAAGCATACTTTCAACGCGCGTTCTGTCAAACCAACGCCAACGCGAAAGCTCTATGTAGATGGACCTTAATATTACATTTTCATTGGCCCCAAATACGCGCCATGATTCAATAATTACTGGCGCCGATACCGGTTTTCACAACTCAGTGACGCAATGGCGCCAGCAACACCGGAACACTGACGACACCAGGCGGCGCAAAGAACCAGCAAAGAACACCCAAAAGCGAAGTGTCACTTGTAAAATGTGCAGCACAAGGCGAATTTTGACAAGGTGGTGTTGCTAAAATTAGCCGCGGTCCTTCTGAATGTGAAAATTATGTGTTGGTTGTATTTTTGGGTTTTGAACTTGGGTATACTTGAGTTGTTTTTACCCAACCCATACCACCTAGTATTAATTCACCTTAGTTCAACACCGGAACACTGACAACACCGGGTGTCGCAAAGAACCAGCAAAGAACACCCGAAATAGAAGTGTCTCTTGTAAAATGTGCAGCACAAGGCGAATTTATACAAGGTGGTGTTGCTAGAATTCGTCGCGGTCCTTCTGAATGTGAAAATGATGCGTTTGTTGTATTTTTGGGTTTTGAACTTGAGTATACTTGAGTTTTTTCTCAACCGATATCACCTTGTATTAATTCACTTTGGTGCAGCGTGCAGCAATAAAAGAAATGAGCTTTACCATTGAAACACAATACCGACGAACAGCGAATTTTCGCACAGTAGTGCGACGACGGCGGCAACTTTCGCTCAGTAAAACACAACTACGGCGACAACGAATTCAGCTGCTTATGACAAGGTACAATAAAAGTTTTTACAAACAATAAGATTATTAATTTCAAACAAAAACTAATACAGTATTTTTCAATTTCGATTTAAAAACTTGAGAATATTTAGCATATGGCCACAATGGATCGTATTTTTCCGCTGTCGTCAGCGACGACGATAGAAATAAGTCTATCGTTGCCAACAGTCGTCGGACGAACGTCATCGTTTGCTTTGGTTGTGTGCGTTCTCATATAGAACAGTGTGTTTTAATTTTTACAGCGAACATTCGCAGCCTAAACAATTCAATTCGTCATACACCATTCAGCCATTCAAAAGAAATGTAACATTTTAATATGCAGATATACTTTGTGGTGGATTTTCCCTTAATGGGCCTTCGCACACTGGACTGCTCAGTCCGCCTAAAACCGGTTTTGTGCGGATAAGAGGGGGAAGAGAGTTCGAGTTTACCTCGCTCATTTCTGTCCGCGAAAATCGCGGATTGACGATGGACTGACACGCACACATAGACAACATGTTTTCTATTTCGTTTTGTTTGCATGTGCCACATGCACTAACACAATCATGCGTAGTTCATGTATACAAAACTGAAACCTGTTTTCGGCCGACTGCTCAGTCCAGTGTGCGTTCGAGTGGTGGACTGCTCAGTCCAGTGTGCGTTCGAGTGGTGGACTGCTCAGTCCGACTGAGCAGGCTAGTGTGCTCAGGCCCAATGAGTTGGGGGAAATCGAAAGGGCCCTGTCACACGGTCAGTATTTTTTGACGTGATCCAAGTATCACGATATCTACTGACGGTGTAGCATGCAGTATTGATGGATCGTGATCCATATCGCAAAACTTCTAAGGGCCCTGTCACACGGTCAGTATTTATTGACGTGATCCAAGTATCACGATATTTATTGACGGTGTAGCATGCAGTATTGATGGATCGTGATCCATATTGCAAAATTTCTAAAAATTTTGAAATCTGAATCGGGATCGCAATACCGTCAATAAATATTGAACGTCTAGCACTTTCAAAACGCGATCCATACATTTCGTCAGTACATCTTTTACTCCCATAATGCAAACATCGAAAACGTATTCGCTCTGCCTTCGCTCTTGGTGCTTAAACCATTTCAAAACAAATTGAGAAAATTTGAATTAACATTGGAAATTTTAAAATAATTGTGGAATGCATTACTCCCATAATGCAAACATCGAAAACGTATTCGCTCTGCCTTCGCTCTTGGTGCTTAAACCCTTTCAAAACAAATTGAGAAAATTTGAATTAACATTGGAAATTTTAAAATAATTGTGGAATGCATTATCTGTAAATTATACGCACAAAATAAAAATATTTTCTTGCGCCATAATAAGCGTTCAGCACAAAACTGATGCAAACACTGACGCGATAAATATTGAACATGTAGCATTCGTGCGCGATCCATCAATCCATCAATATGGATCGCGATCCAAATATCGTGATAATTACTCACCGTGTGACAGGGCCCTAAAAATTTTGAAATCTGGATCGCGGATCGCAATACCGTCAATAAATATTGAACGTGTAGCACTTTCAAAACGCGATCCATACATTTCGTCAGTACATATTTTACTCTCATAATGCGAACATCGGCTCTGCCTTCGCTCTCGGTGCTTAAAATCTTTCAAAACAAGTTGTACAAATTTTAATTAACATCGGAAGTTTTAAAATAAATGTGGAATGCATTGTCTGTAAATTATACATACAAAATAAAAATATTTTCTTGCGTCATAATAAGCGTTCAGCACAAAAATTATGCAAATACTGACGCGATAAATATTGAACATGTAGCATCAATCCATCAATATGGATCGCGATCCAAATATCGTGATAATTACTGACCGTGTGACAGAGCCCAACGACATTTTGCCTGGAAACTTGGCTGCTTAAATTCGTAATATGGCAACGTTATTTCCTAAGTTCCGTTACTGTGTCAATATAACGGAACTTGTATTAAACTGCTGTCATTTCACAATTTGCGAGATTTTCTGAATTAAATTCATATTTTTATCTATTTTATTTTGGTTTGATATCGTTTCACTTATTTTTCGTCACTCCAAATGGCGTTCCGGTCAAATATGGATCGTATGCAGACAATGCATCTCATGTGTAAACGAGAACTTGAGCAGCTTCAGGCGAATTTGTCTAGATTTTTAATCGATAGTGAAGTTGTAATGAGAAATGAAATATTTAAAAATTCTCGAAAGGAATCTGGCTTCCCATTGCATGGCAATGTGTTTGCGCTAATGGCCTACGACCGATACATGTCTCGCGTGGCTTCCGTAACAAACTTGGCGCGGAAATTTAACATCCACTTACAACTGCATAATTTGAATAAAATCTTGACTGGTGGTGATGTTGGCTTAAACATGCCACAGGATTCTTATTTACTCGAGGAATTCGTTGAATGGCATAAGGCGTTAAGGGACAACGATGGGTGTCAAGATTATGGTGGAGACTGGGAACATTATCGTAGTAATGAAGATGAGGAGTCGACCGCTGCATTAGCGTTGGATGATCCCATAACCACTGATAATAAAGTCAAAGTATGCGACGCAAGGTTTCCGTTTGCTCGTAAAATAACTTTTGCCAGACCAGAATCATTGACGTTGGAAGCATTGCCGTCATGTGTGCAATTGCGGGATTTGTCTGGATTCGTCGCTGGATATCACTTTGCAGCTTTTATAACGTACATCGATAATATAGACACATTAACCTTTTATGCTTGCCAAATGCGTAACGATATGCTCTACGAGCTAAGTAACATGCTTAATCTGCCCAAGAGCGTTCGAATGCCTCCAACGAATGTTGTTTTTGGTATTTCTATTAACAGTAAGAGCATTTTACGAGCAGTAATACAAACTCCTGAATGTGTATCTCATGGTAGTACCGAGGATAACATACATGTGCTACTCATCGATTATGGCGAGCTTGTGCCTTTGAATAGCAATGAGGTGCAGTTTTATGATTTACCGAAAATGTATAGGGATTTGCCGGCACAGGCTATAAAATGTATACTCTTGGGAGTAAAAGATGCATTCGAAGGATGCAAGCAGACAGATGCATTATTATTGGGCAAAAAGTTGAGAAAATATGAATTTAAGGAAGTCACTTTTGAAGTGGTTCGAAAAACGGGCCGGGTTTTATACGTATACATTATTGAAAGTCGAGAAATCGAAAATTTACCAGCAGAGGTAAGTTAATACAATTAAAAAAGTTGCAATGGCTATGTATATGTAAATAGTTATATTGTCATAACGTCGTAAATTTAATGTTACATTGGTAAGAGTTTATACACGATAACTGTAAACCATTTTCACCGTTTTAAAATTTCAATAAAAATTGGTTTTCCGCCAATTTTTTGCACGTTCGCCCCTTCTTTTTGATTTTTGTGGGTGTTCTCGGAGTCTTGTAAAGCTCTCGCCCGGTGCACGGAATATACGGATTGTACGGTAAAAACCGGTTTCCCTATGTGATAGCTTTGCAAACCGTGCAAGAGCTTTGCCAGACTGCGAGAATACCCCTGATATAAAAAAAGGCCATTCAAAACAGGTCCGAATAAAGGTAGTATGACGAGTTCTAAGTTGTTTTAATGAAAAGCATCATCCTCTTTTATTTCTATACTATAACTGATGGAAATGTACAATATGCCCAACCCAGAACGACCCAGATTTATATCTGGCCAAGGATTGACACTCCAGCAACATTCCCCAAGAACTCTTTGGGGAATTTGTATGCTGTTACAACAACTACAACTTGGAACTCGGGCCTATATACGACTATTATAGACACCATGTGAATACTCTAAATGTGTTTTTTTTTTTTAAATTGCAGAATAAGAAAAGAAAGAACGTATCAAATAACCCGTTTGTAAATTCTTTTGATGAAAATTCCAATAGTGATGATCCACCACAGAAACCAAAATTTGGCAGCAATAACAATTTGAAATTTCTGCTAACCCCTCGCATAGATGAGATCTCCAAAGATGACTTAATTCAATTGGAAGTTATCCATATTGCTGGACCTGATTGTTTCTACGGCCAAATTCTCAAAGACAAGACTGAACAATTGGAACAATTATTCTGGAATACCGACGAAATATTACTGGAGCAAAAGTTGACTGAACCACCGAAATTAGGTGATGTAATATTGGCGCAGTATGCAAAGGACGAATTTTGGTATCGTGCCAAGGTCATTGATATGATTGATGACGGTACTTTCAAGGTAAACGTTCTTTTAATGTTTGAATCTTTATTTAGGGCAGTAATTTTCTTTTTCCCTAAAGGTATTTTATGTAGATTATGGCAATACAGAAATGGTACCACTGAAGAGTATGGCAAGTTGCAACCATGAGCAGGAAGTGGAACCGTTTCGCGCAGTTCTTTGTCGTTTAGATGGTGTAATCGATCTAACCAACGGTGATAAGTCACGCTTCGAGCAAGCTGTGCAAATGTTAGTGGTTACGTTATTGAATCAACGTTTCGAAGTGCAGGTCATACAAAAAATTAACGATGACGAATTAACTGTACGTTTATTGGATAAGGAATTTGCCGAAACAACACAAATGCTGGTCAATTTGGGATTTGCTAAGCAAATATGAAGAGCGTACATACAAACAGAATTTATGTTATCGTTTTCGTGTGTAAAACTTAAGACAAAGTTATGTTTAACTTTTTATTTGTATTACAGACGAGTGAGTAATCACAAAGAATGTATTGTTAAAAAGGAATTTCAATGAAATAGTTATTAAATCCTTGTACGATAACTCTATTGTTGAACTGAAACATTTTTGAGAAAGAGGTTCTGGCTCTGCATTTAACTTCCGAGTGAATTTCAACCCCATTCAATTTGAATTCAAAGTGGCTTTGGCTGAAATTCACTCGGAAGTGAATTGCAGGGCCTGTATGAAGGAATTGAAAATTATTAAAGAAATTTAATAAACTTGAATGTATGGTTAAATACTATGTGGATTGCGTGTGGATTTCTAATAATTTACAGTTGCGCTCAATTCGCTCAACAAAATTTGAATTATCTATATTTTTATCAAAGTTAATTCTCTCGTGAGTGCTTCTACACTTCTCAGCGCGCTATATTTACAATAGATTCGTTGCGCACTAAACTGAATGCATATAGCACATATTCTTCAAAAGTTTATTAACTCGAAACACCCCACTTCTCAGAAAGAGTAGCACCAACTATTTCTGGGCACACGTTAATCATAAAAGGAGGGCAGTTGCTGTAATAAGATACAAATTCACAAAACAGTTTTAGGGACTGTTTGAACTGACACCATGGCTAGATATAAATGTGGGTCGTTCCGGTTACATATACCCGAGTCTCGTGGAACGATGAGGAAGGGCGTTTTTGCTGTAGTTTTTTGCAACAAATTACAATGAAATCGTGTCTGCTTTTGCTCTGTACATGCTGAGGGAACTTAATTATAATATATCGCTACCTTAATTCACAAAGGCCCTAACCAATACTTTTTGTCACAGATTTTAGTAGGATGTATTAAAATGCACCTTCAGTAAAAATTTTAAAGTGCTAGTACCAAAAACAACGGAGGTACATGTCACTTTTTAAAGAGCCCCTACCTGTTTTTGATACTCTTTGTTTTTATATTTTTTGGTTCTTTAAAATAAAAAAATTGTTGGTTAGGGCCTTTGTTAATTAAAGTAACGATATGTACATTGTATATAAATTAAATTTTTTTTATTCATTTGTTGTATACCGTGCTCAGCACTTGGCATACGGTCCAAAGTTGAAAAACTGCTACCTTAAAATTACTGGCTATTTTCCCTTTGCAGTTGGTCTCTCGTCCACTCTTGCTCTCTCTCAGTCATTTTTTCCCGGCTATGGCCCACAATGTGCTTAGTACAATTTTAATTGTTGATTTGCGTGGACGTTTGATTGTCGTTGGTTGTGCTCGCTCCACCGCTTTTTAATACGAAACAATTTAACTTTTTCGTTGATTCACATCAAAAATTGTTTCGGTCATTTTTTTCTTTTCCACTTCGCAGCTGCAGTGTTCTCCAAATCTTAAACCTATCCACATAGCTTTTGCTGCTGACAACGATTTCCTTTACCAATAAACACATGCATACATATGTATGTACATATGCTATGTGAAGATTCTTCGCAATTGGAAAAATTTTAAAGCAAAATCCGAAAATAAAGGGCAAGAAGAGTGGCAAAAGAATATTTTAATAACAATAATCTATGTGCGCAAGGCTTATGGAAGTGTTGTTATTAGTGCAATCAACACAAAACAAATAATTTTTGTATTGCCATAAGATATCATAAATTTACATATATTTAGTAAAGAACGTGCAGCGTTGTCGCCGTCGGCAATTTTATACCTACCTATTATGTAGTGTGTTGATAATAAATAGCTTTCTATACTTAGTGAAAGAGTAACAATAGAAAGTTTTAAATGCTTATATAAAACTGGTTTATTTGAGAATTATTTATAAACTCGTGCTAATACGAATTGATGCTGACACATTTCGATTCATTGCATAAAACTATTTAAATAAGTCAAGCACTACGACGACTAGCGTTTTGGTGTAACGAAGCGGTCGAAAAGTTCAGTGATATTGCAGTGCTTCCTATTGCTGCCCATTGCATTGTGAATACACATACAGCAAAACACGAAAACGAAAAAAATAAACAAAACTGCGTGGTTCAACGTTATCATTTCACAATGCCAGACAAGGTAAAGTACAAAAACAAAACAAAAAATACTAATACAAAATTACTAAAGAAAAAAAGAAGAAAGCGAGTATATGTACAACAATATAATTTATTTATTTAAATAATTTATTATCCTTATTTATCTATAAAATTTACGCGCTGATAGGGTACCTACTTTTTTATTAGAAAAAAATATTTATATACATATTTAGGGATTTTGTATTTAATATTAACAACACCGTGCGACGGTCAATTTTACACTCGACAAAATCAATATATTCACAAAACTGGGGGCCAAATATAGTAAAACTGCGTTTTTAGTTTTTCTCTATGGCGTCAGGATTTTTTTTTTTAAAGGACTGAAGTTTCTAGAATATGATTGCATAAAAAAATTATTCAAAAGATTCGGTGCATTGTATAATAAAAATATGGATATCAGTTAAAAGGAAAAATTCTGTAGAATAGAAAAATAATTTAATTTTTGGGTGCACCAATACGAATAAGTATTGAAAATGCCCTTTTAAAACCTTATCCTTCAATATCCTTGAAAATTTCCAATATTTATTTTTGAAAAAAATATATGTCAAGGACTAATATGTTAACTACCACATCCTCGAATTTCGTCCTTCTAACTTTATTAGTTTCGTCCTTCTAACTTTATTAGTTTAGATAAAAAAAATGTTACACTTCTCTTTATAAGATGTTGAGTTGTAGTTACAATATACACAAATGAAGATACTGGAATCGTTATTATGGAACCATGTATGCGCCCTAAAAGAACAAACTCACCGTATGATGTACGGTTTAAATACTTTAATTGTTTTATATACAAGGGCGTAGCCAGCCTTTCACCTAGGGGGCCGGCAGTTTATATAGAGGGAAAAAATGTTTCTAATCCAATTTTTTTTTGTGTATATAAATAGAAATTTTTGGGTTTAAGAAAGTATACGTTTTCCGGTATCCTTTCCAATGATACCAATTTTTTAAAAATCAGTTTGTAATTTTTTTCGTTTAAAATATTTTTTTTTTATATGTAAAAAGGTATTTCTTGCTTTTAAGTGTTTTTTTCTCAAATTTTTATATACAAAGTATACAAATATGCATACCAGAAGAAAGGGGGTTTAATTGCCTTTACAACGATATCAAATTTTTAAAAATCGGTTGGTAATTCTTTTGTATTTTTTTTTTTTTATAAAAAAAGGTATTTTGTCCTTTTAAGCGTTTTTTCTCAAATTTTTATATACAAACTATACAAATACGCATATCAATCAAATCCTTTAATCAAATTCCTTTAAAAAATATCCTGACGTCAGAGAGAAAAATTAAGAACGCAGTTATACTATATGTGGCTCGCTAGTTTTATGAATATATTGATTTTTTGCGTGTTTTAAAATTTTTTGGTTTTTGTCTCACGGTGTAATGATTCGACGAATATCGTTTTTACAGAGGGCACCTGTTAACTCACATTCAGATGTGAGTTAAGAAAGAAGAATTTTGAGTTGTGTCATAGTGAAATAATATAAGGTGCAATCCCGTATTCCTCGGACTCGGACTAGTAAAACTGTCAAAAAATAAAAATTCGCTCAGAGCGAGAGAGTAACATTGAAAAGTACGGGATCGCTTCTTAGTAAAAAATGGTAGCTTCTGTCAACTTCAACATAACCTCTAAATTTTGATTGTAAATTTTTGCTTATTTTGTATGTAAACACACTCAGCTCACACATGTAAATAACCAATAATACTTTCAAATTCATTAGAATCCACTTAAACAAGTAATTAAATACTTTTCAACATGAATTAGAAGAGTGCACTTTTCTTTTGTTTACAATTTGGTTGCCAAACACACTACAGCTGATCGTTTGACACATTTACCAGAATTTACCAGCAAAAAATTCTCGGACTAAAACTGGTAACTTCTGACAGAGAGAGAACCGAATTTACTCTTTTTTTTGTCCTCTCAATAGTCAGAGAACCGAGTACGGGATCGATTTCCAGTAAAATCTGACTGATTCTGACTAGTCCGGACTCGTACGGGATCGCAACTATAAAGTGTACCAGATAGCAATGCCATTCTATTTCGATACTCTTATTTGACAATTTCTTATCACACAATGTTTTGTTTGATTTGACTTTCACGTTAACCCTTTTGAGTGAGAAAAAAAAAAATTTAAGAAATAATGCCAAGAAATTCTTGCTGCTTGTGCAAAAGCACACATAGCGTTGCAGTATGATGTTTTCAGTCTGGAAGGATGAGGATCTAGTCCGAAATTGGACAGAGGCATGCAAAAAAACCAAGCGTTAATGCCAGAATCGAAAAAAGCGAATACCAGAAACGAAAGACAAAATAACGAAATCAAATTTTGCTTTCAAATACGAAGATCTCAGTTACCTGGTATACTTTTTATTATTTCACTATGAGTTGTGTCACCTTTGAAGATCGTGTGCGATATGTATGTATGTATGTAAATAGAAGTGTTTTTATACTCGAGCGCACTTGTGGACAAGGGTATTATAACTTTGTTCGCATAACGGTTGTTTGTAACAGCCTAAAGAAATCGAGATAGATATAAACAAATGCATACATAAATGATCCGAATGAAAAGAGAAGTCGGTAAAGCCATGCCTGTCTATCCGTCCGTCCGTCTGTCCGTGTACACGATAACTCGGGTAAAAATTGAAATATCAACGAAATTTGGCCCTTTATCCAAGGTAGGTTGCTATTGAAAATAGGTGAAATCGGACTCGAAACATGCCCCTTTCTCATAGAACGTTTTTTTTCGAAAAATGCAAAAACTACGATATTTCAGTAATCATTGGAACAAAATTGTTGAAAATTAATATGTGAAGTAGAATTTTGGTAAAAAATAATATAGTTTCGAGATTTTTGGAAAATGGGCGTAACCCCGCCCACTAACGATGAACTCCTGTATCTCAGTAGCCGCTTCACCAATCCTTGCCAATCCTCGGTACGAGCCTTGCTTAGGGGAATTTTCCACTTGAAAT